AGATTATGGTCGTTTTAGGGGCAAAAATAACCCCGGAATGCAGCGAGCGAGCTAACAATGCTAACAGCATAATGCGTAGACGGTTACACGACAGGAGTGGATTAATGCTTGGGTCGTCAGAGACAGGAAATGCAGGCTACCAAATCCGAATGATTATAGAAGGAAATCAGTGCAGGATGTAAAAAAAAATATATATATTTCCATTAGAGAGAAACATTAAGACTGGAATGGAATATCCCCTCCCCCATGGCTGCAGCGCTTTATCCCAACACACAACTCCTAAATAAGTGACCGTAAAAATCTATATCTGAGCTCTAAAGTAGCAGAACAGCAGCGCCCATGTCGCCTCGCTTCTGGTTTTTTTCCTGCCTTGACATTAAAGCGCTGCTGAAAAGGAGATTGCTGCAAAGCAACCAAACATTTAAGGTATTTTTTACCACTGGCTTTGCTCTATGTTGCCTGAGAAATAAACTAAACACGCTGGTATCTGCTTATCTAAAACCTCATTGTTCTTCTGCTTCTGTATACAGTTTATCTAAACGGAAATGATACTTAAAGGCGGGGAGCCACTTTCAACACATTTGTTTTAAAACACCGGATCTGAGCTGCAAATTCTTTTTTTTATTTTTGGGAATATATCTGAGGGTGTTGCACTGTGTACCATAGCAGATATATGGGATTAATATGCATGTAGTGAAGATGAGGTAATCTGTTTTAATTGGAAGCAGATGAAGGTTAAATCTGATATCCTGCGAGTTGAATGGGATTTTTTACACAGAAACGCGGTCGACCACTGTGGTCAGAGTCTCGCTTTGCCCATATTTAATGTATGTACACAAAAGCGAATAAAACTGTGCGCAATGTGGCCCGCAGTGTCAACCTAAACACTCCAACTTCACATCTGTTCATGTGTAGCTGCTGCTGCTGCATCACTATCCGCTATAACGCCTTTTTAAACAGACATTCAGTAATGTTACATACCCTGAATGGAGACTGTATGCTTGTGTACACATCCATGTAACGCAGCGTTTTCATGTTACGTTGCTCCGGGTTAAATTTAGTATTAACCCCGCTCTAACTGTAGGATCTAATGTCACTATTATCGATTGATGGCCTCGTTATCTTGTTTACCTTATTTTTACGTGCCGTCCGTTACTAAGCAATAAAAAGTCGTTTTTGTGTCGAGCTAATTTGAGATACTAGCATGCGCTAGTTAGCAAGTGCTCAGTTGGCTTGGCAACTTCAAACTTTTAGTTGAATTTAATGTCTTCCTGGGTGCGTTTTGGAGATTTGTTCAAAATAAAACGAACGAAATAAGCTTGGAACTGACTGGTATTCACTAAGGTTCACGAGCAAGTTAGCAAGCTACTCTCAGCTGATATGTTAGCAGGTAACAGCATGCAAGCTAACTATAGACAACAATACACGTTCAGGCTTCGTTTAACCTTAATCTATAATCGTCAGATAATGAAGTTAACTTACCTTTCTAAATCCACTCTGGAGGCTATGAATAGCGAATATGGGGACCTGGGTGAGACCCCAGTCGCAGCTTCCACAACCAAAACAATACTTCAGAACACACACTGCGGATTCCTAGCCTAGGTTTAAAATGTTTGTATTCGGACGTGTTCTCTAAAGGTTCCTTTCCTTGTTTCTAAAGAAAATACGCACGAGTTCGTACAGGCTGGGAGCTCAGATGTTACGAGGATTTGTTCCGAAACCGTTAGAAAAAGCCTTAGAGCCCCAGTCAACGGCGACTTTTAGAAATTAGATCCCTTCAAAACCAGTCTCTTTTCCCTGTGCAAAAAATGGCGGCCCTACCAGGACTCCCGAGACCCCGCCTCCCCGACGAAAGGGCCCCGCCCCCACATTCCGCGGGGCTACACTCCCCGATTGACAGGGGCGCCGTGATCGGTCTCCATGCGCGTTCACGAGAACGAGTCGTCGCAAAAGAAATCCGCTCTTGTTACCCCGCATTTATTTATATAAAATATCCAACGTGCAACAGTTTTGCAAAATATATATATATTTTTTAATCTTCGCATGTTAGAATTTGTGTTTTCCTTATATTTGGAGATTTTTGTACAATTATGTCAAATATTGCAGAATAATATATATAATAATACGACATCAAAGAGTTGATTAAGGCTTAATAATCATGTTTAAATGCATAGTAAAAATTTAGCATATGTCTTTCAGATATCATCAAAAACATTTTATTAATGGTTAAAAAATAATAAAACAATGCAATATGCAAATTTGATTTTAAAAGCAGTTTTCCATTCCTGAATTCACACGCTCCTAAGTTCTCTGCTCTGACTTTTTAATTTGATCCATTTTATCTGAGCGACAATCTTTTTAAAGTGAAGTCAGCTGTCAGACTGTGGAGGTTTTGCTTAAACCAATTAACTGCTTCCTCTCCCGTTTCCTATTTTCCTCTCTCAGGGTGAAAAGAAAGAGAATGATCGCTTCATGGGACTGACGTGTCAGCATGGACTTACCTTCCTTTCATATTTTAAGTCTGATCCTCACAGCATTATTTTATGTTAATTAAATTACTCATTGTTTTATGTTATAAAATGCTTTACCATAGCTCGTTTTGCACATTTTGTGTTTTCTTCCCATTTAATTATTAATTTTACGATAACATGTTAGATTTGTTGAATAGCAGGCTTGTGAGGGATCACCCAAATCCATTACAACTCTGCAGAAGGTTAAGCTGTTATGTAACCTCCTTACACAAGAGCAGTGTTTTATGGGGATAAAATTAAATTGTGAACAAATAGACTGACTGTATGAGGAAAATCTTACAGTTTGTTGAAGAAAAAAACAACTAAACACTTAAAGCAACATGGATTTACTGCTACGATAATTATGAGCAAGAGAAGCGTAAGGCCAATATTTAGTGTCTTGGGTTGAAACACCAAAGCTCTGTGTTAAATGTTGAGAAAACAAGCAAGTCTAATGAGAAGACATTCTGATTTATTAAATATTTAATAAATATCGACATATATATAAATATAACAAACCAAAATGACTTCCATGTGATCTGGGGCTTTTATTTTAAGTCAAAAGTGTTTTGGAAATTAGCAGAATATCAGTGTTGGCTGGAAAAACCCTTCCTTTAAAGAAAAAAATAAAAATATTGATATGACATTAAAGGTTTTTAGTATTAAACATGGACTGTTGAAGTGTTAATTCTTAATTAGATTCATATATTCGTTTTTTTTAGTTGAGTTGCATTGTATCAATTAAAACAAGCTTTTGAATTTACCATTGTTTTAATGTTTTAAATGATAAAAACTGACAGTTTCAAAGGCTGTTAGAAGTCACAGCATGTTCAGAAATGTATTAATATATAAAATCTATTCATCTTAGTTCTGAGTCCAATGATTAAATAATTTATAAAATGTTTAATTTAATAAAATCCCAAAGTATCTGATAGAGTGGTGTGTATGTAGAAATCCCTTTGACATCATATGCAGGGAGGATGTGCTCATCCTTTCCATTCGTCGACCCTCCCCCACCCTGGACTGCACCCACCGGCGCATGCGCATTCCGGGAAGACAGCAGCAACTGCCGACGCTCGCGCAAACTTTGGGGACGGCAGTATAAAAGGCTCGGTCCGTTCTGCTCGTTTTTAAAAGCCGGAAAAGAACGGCCGCCGAGGACACAGGTTGAATTTACGGGAGAGAAGAACCCTGTTTTCGATTGATTGCCATCTTTGTTTTTTTTCCATGAAGATGGTTTTGATTTTTTTCACCTTTAGAGTCGCTGGTGGGTTATAGGATTTATATAGGTCCCTTTAGAATAAAAAAAAAGAAAAAGAAATGATTAAAGCGGACTTTTTTGTTTGTAGAAATTTCTGGTTTATGATGACATCATGCAGTTAGTATTTGTGGGCGGGCTCTGAGCTGAGAGGGGAGAGGGGCGCAACCGGAGAGCACCATCGGCCAGGCGCCATTAGCTAACAATGTCACACTAATGTCCGTTTTGAGACGAATCATTCTTATTAGTTAGATTTTAATCAGATATATCGGTATTGTGGGCTGTCTACACCGAACGTAGACGATAGTTGTCGAATCAGATGGACCGTTCTTTTTTTATTCGGTGAAACTGGAGCTCGACCTAAAACAAGATGGCGTCGAGGATTTTCCCCTATTAGGGCGGCGGCGCCGTGCGCGCTCTCGAAAACAGTTATTTCCTGTTTTCGTCGCATGGACTGACACAGACCTCAGAACAAGAGGTTATCCACGAGTTTATGACCATTTTTTTTAAAACCTATTAGAATAAAAGGTATGTTTTACAAAATAAACGTTTTATATGTTGCAATAGAAATCCCACAAAAAGACAACAAAAAAAAAAACACCACTCCAGCTGTACTAGATGTTTTGCTTTATGTTACACAAGCACTTAAATCAAGCACCGTTTGTTCATTATATAAACTACAAATAAACCTCACCCAATGTATGCATTTGTGTGACTTTGGCTCCATCTAGTGGAAAATACAATTAACTACTACAAGTTATACTACAACAACTACTGATATTTATAATATAACAGTGTAATAATATACTAGTATTACCTGTAGTATACTTTTAGCATATGGGAATTATATTGAAAGAGGATGCTATAATTTCCACCCACGGAATTTAATTTCTAAATCTACGTCTCTGTAAATTGATACCAAATAAACAGCCAAACATCAAAACAATCCAATAAATTGTAAAAGGTTGTGAAATACAATCTGCTGTATGTACTGGAGATGAAGTTAAATTTTGTAAATTAATCATTTTATATTTGTATGGATCTA